AGAAGGGAGACAAGACCGGAGACAAAGGGAGACAGAAGGGAGACAAGGAAATGCTGCATGGCCAGAGGAAAAGGGCGGACATCATCAGCAACAGACCTGGGAGACACATGAATAGAAATGCAGCGGAAAAGGGCGGACACCACCAGTGACAGACCTGCGAGACAAATGAATAGAATTTCTGCGTGGCCAGAGGAAAAGGGCGGACACAACCAGTGACAGACCTGGGAGACACATGACTAAATGTTGCATGGCCAGCGGAAAAGGGCGGACACCAGTAGTGACAGACCTGGGAGACAAAAGAATAGAAATGCTCCATGGCCAGCGGAAGAGGGCGGACACCACCAGTGACAGACCTGTAGGAAACAAAGGAATAGAAATGCTGCATGGCCAGCGGAAAAGGGCGGACACCAGCAGTGACAGACCTGGGAGACAAATGAACAGAAATGCTACATGGCCAGCGGAAAAGGGCGGACACCAGCAGTGACACAAAGGGCGGACACATCTTAAGAAAGAATTGAGAACCCCTAACAGTAAACTATTTGGGGAAAAATAGATGTTGAAAAAATAGGCTATGTCTGCTTGAAGAGTGAATTTCTGCTTGTGGAGAACAGCTGGAAGTCACAACAATCAGCCAGGGCACCCAAGGCTGCCAAGCCCACGCACCGCAACCTGGAGACTTGGAAGGGCCGCGCAAAAGGTGTGTTGGACCTCCCGGAAAGTTCAAGAGAAGACCATTTACGGATTGATAACGGATTGAATTCTAGTATTTCGAAGACTTGGGATGCGTTAGGTGGATTGTTTGACAGCCAAAGTTGAAGGGAAAGAACTGCTAACCTTGCATATCGTTTGGACTTGCCAAACACCATGGCTCACCATCGAATGGGGGCATCATTCCACGAGTTGGCGGGAAGCCCATGGTTTTGGGGCTGATAGCAATGTTTACTGTAGATGTTCCCTTGAACCAGACAAATGACTTCATGATACTTCATGTGACTTCCACATCTTACATTATGTTGACTGTATCCAAGATGGCCCATGATGACCTGCAGCCTGATGGTGGGAAAGTAAGGGGACACCCAGCGATGTACTGTAGGTCTGGCAGGTGAAAGGTCCCCAGACGAGGCTCGCAAACGACTGTATTCACGGAGTTTATATTCTTCTGGGCTCCATTTGGGGCAGAGGGGAGAGGCAAAGGCCAAGCTTGACTCTCTGGGCAAACTTTTGACTTCAGACCATTTCAATCCTGCATTCTAATCCGAGAGACCCCCAGCCTTGGGGGATGTCTGAAATCCATCATACAATCCAAGCAAGTTAGCCCAAACCTTGCCATCACGACAGCAATCTTCAAGTCCCCTCTTCTCAGAGGCCCCCGACACGTCTCCACCCCTAGGAGTGGCAGGTTGATCCCCCCCAAAGTTGCTCTCCCAGAGGATTTGGGCCGATTTGGAGTCATTCTTCCCGCAGGAGGCCCCGAAATCAAGAAGATCAGGAAGCTTGGTGAGACGAGAATGACCCAAAGAGGCAACATTAACTTGAAGTGGGAGATGGCTTTGAAGTACTGGACTTGCGTGTCCAGTCAGATTGCCTAAATCAATGCTTCTTTTTGGGAGTCTTTGTCTGGATAGAAGTATATAAATCAATACAGGATAGCTATATCCATTTGTATAGGATCAATAAGTTCAAGGCTCACGGCTTCTTGGTACGTCTATTTGGGGATGACAGTTAACAAATGGTTGAACTATGACTGTGACTCGGATATATGTCCGATACCTTGTAGCTCCAGGAACACTCCCGTGATAAAATCCAGGCTCAGCTTGGTGGCCCAGCCTGGTAAAACCCTTCAAAGCCATCATCAACCTTCCCAAACCAGCTTGGCTCGCATGTCCCTGAATAGTTACCAAAGAAAAAGCTCCAAAAAGAAAAGGGGCCTCCAGCCAAGACAGGTCTCTCCTATGATACAGTGGTCTTCTCCTGCCCAGTGGGATGTCCAAGGACCTGGACCGTGCTCACCCATCTGCAGAAAACAGAACAAGTTCTGAAATGCCAAATAGCTCCAGCTCAGTGTTGAGCAAGAAAAAAACGTGTCCAGAAATCTGAGTATATAGTTCTGGCCACTGCTGTCTTGAGTACTTCTGAACCGATTCTTCAGGCTTTGCCACTGTTGCTGATCAATTATGGTCTATTGGTCTCAGT